CCAGCGGTGGCTCCCACTCCCGGCCCTCCACCTCCCCTCTTTCCGCCCTCCGCCCTTCCTCTCTCCCCTCACCCCTCCTCGGGCCTCCTCCCTCCTTCCTCCCTTTACCCCGCCCCCTCTCCCCACGACTTCCCCACCCTCCCGCCTCCTATTCCCTCCTTTTTTCTTGCTCGCTCCTCTGTCCTCCCTCCTCCGGCCAGGATGCCGAGGCGAGCCCAGCCGTGGCGACGGACATCGCTCCGAGGTTCAAAATGGCAACGCGTATCCGCCCGCTCCCGTCCCTGGGGAAACCAAGAGGTACCGATATTGCTAATCCCCGGACCTCTCCCCGGGTTGCGTTCTGATCAGAATTTCGAGGCGAATCCAGCGGTGGCGACGGGGCCTCCCAGGAGGCCCCACAAGGGGACAACGAGGCGAGGGTAGCGGTGTGGGTACCTTTTCCTCCTCTGAGTCCCTATCCTCCCTCCTCCGAAGGTCTTCCCTTGGAGCAGCTCCTCCTCGACGGACGCGTCGGCAGGCCGGGTCTCGGCGTTCCGCCTGGCACTGGCCCGTGATGCGTATCATCGCTCGGATGCCTGGGACCTGCTCCGCGGATGGCTCTGGGCCTCCTGTGATGGACCTGTTTTCCACCACCACCACCATCCAGTTGGAGGAGGGAAGGAGGAGGACGAGGAGGACGACGAGGAGGAGGAGGAGGAAGACCCCTCCCCCTCCAGATTATGGTTGTGGTGATGGAAAACAGGCCCATCATCCCGGGGTCCGAGTAGATGGGGTCGGAGGATTGCGCCGCATCGCCGATGCATCGCCGTTGCGGCCCGATGCGGAGCCCCATTCTCTCCACGCCGGCATTGCCGATGCATCGCCGCTGCGTCGGCGACGTATCGCCAATGCATTGGCGATGCGGCGCGATCCTCCGACCCTATTTGCTCGGACCCCATCTAAGAGGCCTCGAAATGCTTGTGATCGAGTTTGGAACGGATTCTTGTCTCAGCGCCGCGCGCACAATCGTCTGATTCAGATTTCCACAGCGGGATGGCGGACCGCTTCCAGCACGTACACGGGTGCTGGGCGGATCGTTTCCTGCATGCATTCTCGCATCCATGCCCCGCGCGCTTGCTCGAAACATCCCATACTGACGTGGAAGATGGGAGGTGGTGTTCGAAACGCCGTTTTTGCCGTACGCCGCGCCGCGCACATGAGCTTTTGGTAGTTTCCCAGACTTAGGCGGATAGAGGGCGTGGCCAAAACGAGACCATCGTCGGTTGCTTCCTCCTTTTTCATCGAATGGAAAGCTGTGCAGCCATTGACTTCAGTACGGCCGATGTCTACACGGGCGGAGGGCGGGGCTCTTCAGCTTGGCGTTGTCGCCTGACAGATTTTGGCGGCGAGCGAGGGGGGAAATGAGAAGGAGAAGGCCTTCTCAGAAGGCGGCGGGACTTCTCAGAAGCCCTCGCGCCTTCAGTGAAGTGTCTTGTCTTCGGGAAAGGCTTGGGACACTTCTCGGAAGGCCCTGGGGAACTTCCGAGCCTTCCGAGAAGGCCTGCTCCTTCTCACTTCCCCCCCTCGCTCGCCGCCGAAGACTGTGCTGCAGCCGCGGCTACCTCCTGACGCGCACCACATCCACGCGCACCACATCCGGCATGACTTCTCCGCGGGGGGGGGGGGGGGGCAGGGACGTAATGCCGTACTGCATGCATGAATGATGCCTCCGGGGTGCATTCTGAGCTTTCTCCTCCCCCCCTCTCCCCCCCCCCTCCCGCGCGTGGTGGAGGCGGGGGAGGGAACGGGAGCATGAATGAGGAGAGGAACGAGAGGGCGAGGAGGGGATGGATGGATGGATGGATGATGATGAGGACGAGGAGCAGGAGGAGGAGGAGGGATGGAGGAGGAGAGACTGACGGATGGATGGATGGATGGATGGATGATGATGATGATGGTGGTGGTGGTGGTGGTGATGGTGGTAAGGAGGAGGAGGAATTGAGGATGAGGAGGAGGGATGGAGGAGGATGAGGAGGAGGAGAAGGAGGAGGATGGTCACGACGACGACGACGACGACCTCCCTCCTCTCTGCTCACGTCGGGGGCACGGTATCGTCGCCGACGGTGACGCCGACGTCGACGACGCCGACGACGCCAGCGACGACGACGAAGCTGACGCCGACGACGAAGCCGATGCCGAGGACGACGCCGAGGACGACGCCGCCAACGACGCCGACGGCGCTGCCGACGACACCGACGCCGACGACGATGATGAAGCCGACGCCGACGACGCCGCCCAAGATGCCGACGCCGAGGCCGACGACGGCGCCGCCGACGACGACGTCCACGTCACCCACGGCGCCGACGGGACGCCGAGGCCGACGACGACGATGCTGACGCCGACGGCGCCGCCGATTGACGCCGCCGCCGCCGATTGGCAGCGGTAGCGGCCTCCGTGCGCGCGGCGGCGGCAGGCGACGCCGGCCGCCACGCAGTGCCATCCCGCCAGGAGGAGCCGCAAGGCGGCCGGGTTCGCCAAGTCTTGGCATCGCTCGGACGTGTGATTTTTTTTCTCGGCGAGGACCCTCGAGGAGCACCCTGGACCATCTGGCAACAAAACGCACGCACGACACCAGAGCATGCACGGGGAATGGACGTCCGAGCGCTGGCATGAAGCGGGGGGGGGAGTGCGCCCAGGGGGGGCGGAAGCTTTGAGGTCCGAGGTTTTCGGACGTGTCCGTGGGTTCTCGGATGTCTTCCAGCCTCGGGATGCCTTCCAGCGGTGGCGCCTCGCCGAGAGCGTTCGGGGATTGCCCAGATCATCCCGAACGGCCTCCAGAGACCCGAGCCTGTGCCCGAAAGCCATCGGCGATGCCTCCCCGGGGGATGTCTCGAGTGAAAGTCGGGGGGATCACACCACTAGGAGAACCCTCCCTGGCACCTCGCGCCGGTGGTGGTGTTGATGCCGGCCCCCCTCTGCCGGTAGTAGGTGAACGCGGCCGCTTTCACCTGCTCCATGATCGAGGTTGCGGCCGGGAACTTTTGCTTGCAGTGGGGGCCCATGCCAAGAAACTTGTGGAAGGTTTCTTGTGGTCGGGCCCCTGCTGTAGCGTGTCGCGCCGCCGGTGCCAAGTTGTCTGACGTTCTGCGTCGGCGCTCTCGTCGGCCCTCGGCAGTTCTCTGGCCTCGGGGTGGCAGCTGCGCCTCGCCGAGGGCGTTTCGGGGGGCGCCCGGCTCGTCTCGAGCGGCCGCTGGAGACCCGAGCTATGGCCCGAAGGCCCCCAGACGAGGAACGTCTGCTTAGCGCGTCGCGCGCGCTGGTTCCGGCCGCCGCGCTCCGGCGCCACAGGCTGGTGTCAACGTCCCGAGCTCGTCCCAGCGTCCCAGCCTCCCGCCCCGCGGAGCGGAGCGGCACGGTATCCGCTCGCAGGGCGCAGCGTGTTGCGGGGGCCGTTCCACGACACCCGAGCAAGAAGGTGCCCGACCGTAGAGGCGCGAGGTTCGGGGCCGCCCACGGCCTTGCTCTTCACGCGGCCCTGTCAGGCCGCGCGCCAGAGGCCACTCTTTGCCTGTAGGGCCACTCGCCGCGTGCAGCGGATGCCGAAGACCTCGAAGGTCGCGGTTGGAGGCTCGAGGTTGGAGGCCGCGCATTGGCTTGCCGTTGTAGCTCCGCCGGGTCTGGCCCACCACCATTCGGTGCGACACGCCATCCGTGTCCTTGTCCTCGAGCGTCGACGTCCTGAGCCTTTCCGAGCCTCACGCCCCGCAGAGGGGAGCGACACGCTACAGCGGGGACGCGCATCAAGAAGCCAGATGCTGTTCGTCAGGCTGCCCTGGGTTTCTTCGCTGCGTGCTGGCTTCTGAAGGCGCTTTGGAACTACTGCGTTCAGGATGCCTTGATTTCCCCCCCCCCCCCCCCTCCCTCGGTTGCGCCTCGCGCGCGGGCATTCAGTGCTGGGTTTCTTGCGAGGGTTTCTTGCGAGGGTTTCTTGCTGCCCCGTCCGTGCTGCATCCGCCTGCAAGGCACAGCGTGCTGCCGGGGCTGCCGCCGCGACATGGTAAGCAACCAGGCTCCCGACCGAAGAAAGCACGGGCCTTGGACCTGGGGCCTTCCCACAGGACACCAAGGACTTCTTCCTCCTCCTCCTCCTCCTCCTCCTCCTCCTCCTCCTCCTCCTCTACTCCTCCTCCTCCGCCTCCTCCTACTCCGTATCCATTTTGGCTCAAGTTTTGGGCTGGCGCGTGGGACCCGCGGCCCCATCCGTGTCCTGCAGGGCGTTCGCCCGCCCTGCAGCAGTCAGGATTCCTTTCACACCAAAGTGGCGAGGAAAGGTGACTTCAGTGTCTGCGCGTGCAGGAACTGGGCGTCCAACTTTCGCATCATGCACAACAGCGGCAACTGCGCGAAGTGCGGGCGTGCGGTGGACGTGTGCCAGCGCAGCCCGCCGTGGCAGAGGGAACGGAGCTGGACGAGGCCAGCGACCAGTGCGTGGAGCTCGTGGTACTCGGCCCCTGCACCGGCTCCCGACCCAGAGGCGTTTCTCGAGCAGCTGGCGATGCTCTCGCAGTTCGCTAGCGAGCTGGGCCCTCTGCAGCGCGCGCAGGAGAAGTTCAACGAGAGCCAGGTACGTGTACCGACCGCTCAGGAGCTGTACGCGCAGACGGCGGAAGAGCTCCAGTGGAAGGCGGAGGCAATGCAGAGAGCCATTAAGGCTGAGGCAGAAGCCGAGGCCAAGTTGGCAGCGGCGACGGCAACATCCAATGACGCGGCCATCCCTCATGCGGTGGCAAAGGGGAAGCACGCAGAGGCTGTGGCGAAGGTGGCTGAAGGGGCGGACATCAAGCACGTACCGCAGGGCTACACGGTGGACGGCAAGCGCGTGGTCTTCTCGGTGGATGACGATCAATTCAAGGATGTCGCGTCCTTCGAGGAGGAGGAGTAGAAGAAGCTGCGCGAACTGGAAAACACCATCAAGGGGAAGTGCGAGCAGGTGGCGGCCATCCAGACGGCGGTCCACGAGCACATCGCCAGGGTCAAGGACATCCGCGCGGGGGCGACGCAACGGCAACGAGTGGATGAGCGAAGTCAGGCAGCCAGAGGTGTCGGCGCGGAGGTGCTGGAGCCTTTAGGCAACGACACCCCCAAGGACTCTGCGGCACACGGCGGCGAACACCTGCCAGCAGATGTCCAAGCGGCTGCTGAGGAAGAACGGAAGTCAGCATTGGAGGAGAGCGCAATAATATAGTGGAGAAGGCCAAGGCTTGTGGCAAGGGTGTTTCTGTTGGTGGCGCTTCTTCTTCGGTTTCTGGGTCGGCCCCTCCGCGTGGGTGACGCACACTTGGTGAAGTTCACGGAATCCACCTCTACTCGCATCAACACCAGGCACTTCACGGAATCGGCACCATAAAATACATCTTTCTTCAGCAATCTATCGGAGTGGGGACCTGTCACGAGGTCATTCATAGTTCGCCAGACCAAAGCATGTGACATGATCGGCTTTACGGAGACAAATATCAGGAGAAAAGCTGCAGAAGGCATGGACGGGAGCTAGTAGCCACAGAGCCTACGGCGACGGGGCGATCATTATGTGGCGCCACTGGGGGTGAGTGGATCTTCACCCAGAAGCGCAATGCTGCCACATCCTTCGAAGGACGCCGTGAAGCAGAGCGCGCTCGCACAGGTGTTGATTGTTTTTCGAGGGTTTTGCCGGTGGCATGGCGTGCGAGAGTTGGCAACCTGGTCGCGGTCTTACCTCATTTGCTACCAGGCCCGAAGTTTGGCGGGGCCACTGAGAAGATGCTGCTCCGGCTGGCGGTGCTTCTGCAGATGATCGGGGACCCGTGGATCCTCGCGGGCGACTGGAGCGCGAGGCTGCAGGAGCGGGGCGATGCGAAGTGGTTTCGTCAAGCTCAATGGGAGGCTGGTCTTGCCGAACAACGGGGAAGTGACCTGCAATCGTGGAAGAGGATCGCTTATCGACAGTGTGATCGCAAAGAACGGCGTCGCTGGCTCCTTGGCGTCGCCCCTGAGGTACCGTGGCGCACGCGTGCAGGCATGTGTATTCACTTGAAGTACTGCAAACTCGGATGGTGGAACAGCACCACGATCACGGCGCGCGCTCTGACTGCGGCCCCCCCGCGGCCCCCCGGCCGCCCGCCCCGCCCAGAGAGTGAGAGGCATGAGGCGCTGAGTAGGGGGCGAAGGAGAAGAGGATGGAGCAGCTCGAGGAGCACTTGCGCGCTGCATACGATGAGCTGCGCTATGAGCAGGCTGCCCCATGCGGAGGGCGTCGCGCTCAGCATCAGCACGGAGCAGTGGCAGGAGTCGCAGTCATTATGCCGGGTGGGAAGTTCTTCCTGCATAGGAATCAGGCAGCTCGCGGCTCCATCGCGAAGAGTTATTTGGTCTGGGCCAGCGCCGTCGAGGAGGCGACGATCAGGCAGCCTGATCTACCGCGTCGCGAAGCAGCTCGGGCACGAGGGCGGGGCCGCGGATGTCAGCTGTCCTGGGGGCAGACGAGAGCCGCGCCAGATAGACCTCAACTTCGTGACCCGCGCTGCGAGTGGTGGAATATCTGCGCCGCACTTCTACGAGCTCGTCTGCTGAGCGCAGCAGGCCAGCGCACCGACTTCGAGTTGGTTTATGGTAACTTGGAGGAGTTGATGGAGGTCGCGCAATCTCAATGCCTACATCGGGCATTACATGATGCGGATTCGTTTTTAGAATGGAAAGGCACGGTGGCGGAGCATTGCAAGGGCTCGGAGATATTATTCAAGAGCCGCCCGGCAGGCAAGTCGACGTCGGGTGCAGAGCGTGGCTTCCAGCCATGGGCGACGAAAATGCGGAAGTCGTCTCCAGGAGCGCTCCACAGATGCGCGCGAGGCACCATCGACGAGCCAGACGCGATCATCGCGACTACAAGCGTGCCCTCCTCTCCTAACGAAGTGAAGGACTGCGTGGCTGACAAGTGGCAGGCAATTTGGACGGGCCCCGATTTCGCTATGGAAATGATTGTGAAAGGCGTGGCGTACGTCAACCTGCGCGCGAAGGATCAGCAGCCGCCAGAGATCGCGACGGACATGATACGCCATGCTGCCTCGAACACGAATGCCAAGAAGTCCAATGGTGTAGACGCTATGGGCCCAGTGGAGTTCCAGCGGCTACCGCCGGAAGCCGTGGATCAGCTATAAGGCGTATACGCGAACATCGAGAAGCATTGCATGTGGCCTGGCCAGGTGTTCGCGGTCATCCGAGTTGTGGCGCCGAAGCCGCAAGACTGTGACCGAGTTCTGGGGTCGCTGCCATTCTTGGCGAAGCGCTGGGCGAGGGCCCGCAGTTCAGACACCGCGCAGTGGACCGTTGATGCGGATGAGCACTGGGGCACGGCGATGCAAGGATCACCGGCGCTACAGGCAGCGCTGGCACGCAGTTAACTCGACGAATCGGGGCGCGAACTGCAGATTCCTTCGGCCGCGCTGTTGCTGGATATCGAGAAGTTCCATGGCAGCCTGGGCCTGTGTA